AATATTAGAGTTGAAAATGTGTTTCCAATATGCTTCTGCGTTTGTATTGGTTTAATGTCGGTTTGGTATGATTTCTGGTATGTTGTGTTAACCGGAACACTATAAATGTTGTATCGACACATTAATGATCAATAACAAGAAATCATTTTGCTTTGTTCTTCGTCTTCTCCATACGAAGCTAACAGTAATGCCCTGATCCCATATCCAATTAGGAAATTGCACTTTCAATTTGAGAAAATCTGATGCGTATCTGATCTTGTAGAGTAAACGAAACGATTCATGTTCGAATCGGCAAGAGCCGTATGGAGAGATCTTCAACGGAATGAAACAGACACAATTGCTTCTGGACTATCGACATAAATTAGCCGGAAAAACATTCTCTCAATGAGAAAGACAAGAGAAAAAACATTGAAATAATTGGTTCAACAAAGAAATCAACATAAAAATCATTATTCAACGATTTATTTGTATTAAACCTAATCTATGAAGTAGAAAGAAGAAAGGAAAGAGTATGGTTGGCGTCGCCCAGAGAAATTTGGTGTAAGAGGTGGGTTGGTTGTGATCGTCCAAGAGATTGCTTGGGGCAAACTAAAAATATTTTACTACTAAATGATTATAGGTTTATGTTTGCATGAAATTAAATTGTAAAGTATAATATTGGATGGATTGGTAAAAAATTTAAAGAAAAAATTTAATCGGGAGATTATCTCCCGCGATTTCGCTAGGGTTCAAATCCTAGTATACGTAAAAGAATACCTAAATATTTCAATAGTTAGACAAATAAATTAAAGACTTCTGCATATGCAATGGTAGATAAATAAATAGCGGATAATCAAGTATTATGGAATGATATAGTATATGACGAGTAGCGAGTCTCTTTAGACCTTTAAAGAAAAAACTTTTTTTTGGTTTAAGATTAAGTTGTACTTCTCCTAAAAACCACCTCTCTACAGAGCAAAGTTTGTTAGGTCCAGGCATAAAAGGAATTGAAATTCATGGCTCAACAAGAGCTTGAATGAAAGATCAGACAAATGTGATTAAAGAAGAGATTTTCCTAGTGTTGGAAGAATCGGAACCAAGCAGACAAGAGAGTGTCTCCGGCGTGAGAGGTGGGAGAGTAGGCTTGCATATCATCTTGAACAGACACAAGTCTGCTTCTTATGAAAACGCGAAGGCTTACGATTCTAGTCTGGAGAGAATGAATTCAAAAAAGATTATTAGCCCATACCAAACTGGATTAGTGACCAGGTCGCTCGGTTTACCAGTCCGGCCATGTGTCCGGGTCGGAACTGAGACCATTGCCCATAACAAAAAGCCCAGATCAGTAGAAGACAGAGATGAATCATATGATATCAATAAACAAACAGCAGATCAGATGTTTTAGTTTATAGTTCCATAGAATGGAATGAAAATGGAGATCATATGATTTATAGACTTGTCTGTCTTCACAAATTTTATAAGACAGAGACAAGTCTATAAAGATCATTACATAGAAAATAAGAAGAGTAATTATTAGGGTTCTTCCTTAAGGACAGTATCTGTGTCAGCCCATTGCGTACTTTTGAGTCCAGGTCCGAGCAGTGGACTCGTACTTGTTCTTGTCCGTCTTGTACATGTGAGCTATCTCGGGGACCAAAGGATCATCTGGGTTTGGATCCGTTAACAAAGAACAAATTGATAGCAGCACCTGTTGCATCACACATATCAAACGCTCGTTACCTCTAATAAATGCTGCTCATACAAAAAATTAAACAGATATCACTTGGGGCAAAAGCATATGTTTGACTTTCATTTGGAGTAGACGATTACCGGCACCTAGCTGTCTATGGTTCTCATATGATAAAGAACAAGGAAGAACAAAAGAAAACCTTGGAAATTGTGAGTGCGGGACTCCACTGCTCCTTCAAGATGTCGAGACAGATGCTCCCATTACTGTTAATGTTTGGATGGAACACCTTTGTCCTAAAAGCCACCTACATTTGATCACACCATACATAAGAGCAATGAAATAAAGCAACCACAGAGAAGAACATGCAATGCAAACCATCGAGTTACATATGAGCTTGAAACGAAAAAACGCTGGAAGATAATAGCAAACAGAACAAACGATGAATGCAATAAAGTCGAAAACTTTTCTGAAGCAGCTAGTTGAATGACTTACCTTAGGAGGTTTAAATGGGTAATCTGGAGGAAAATGAATGGTTACAAGAAAAACTCCACCAGAATAAGGACTTTCTGTTGGACCCATTATCGTGGCCTGCCAATGAAACATGTCTTCCGCGACGGGTCCTATCAAAATTTTGACCAAATGTTCAATCTCAAAACTAGGAGAGCAACAAAATAAGCTAGTGCAAGGGTCAAATCAGAAGAGAACATCACAAGTTTTGTTTTGAATATATCATCCAAGAAAATCACATATGAAACCAGATCCAGAAAGTAACAAATCAAACAAGTTTGAACCTTGATCTTGTATAATTTCATATACCCAGAAAAAAATCAATCACACACAAGGGATTTCCTCCCACGAGAACTTACACAAATCCCTGTTATTAGGAGCTGAGAATTACACAAAATCAGGTTTAAAGCAAAACTGTGGAGTCAAGAAAAACATATAATCAGATCTAAGCTAACAAGAACACGACCCAAAGCTAAAGAATGATTCGGATCCATCATCATCAGCTAAAGCAACACAATTTCCGAATTAGAGGTTAGTTATGGAGTCGAAATAAGCACCTGCGCTACATGATGTGGGTGGATCCTTCTGCAGATCCTTCAATTCCTTCAAGATCCGCTTCGATGCCATATCCAAAAACCTACGATCCAATCCAAAGTACCATCATCACAGATGAACAACAAAACCCAGAATTCCAAAAACATATTATTACTACGGGAAGATTCAAAGATTCTACCTCCGGATTCACGTTTTCTCGTTCGGCGTTTGGTTTTGAGAGGAGAAAGAAGAAATGGTGTTGAGCGGAAGAGAAAGAAAGCTATAATAGTGTGTGGTCGCGACCACAATATATAAGGTGGATAAAATTTTGCTTCGCTGATTAGTGGAATCTGCTTTATTCTTATTTAGGTATTTTAATATAAATATTCAACTTTTTTTGGTGGGCCTAACTTAGCGTTGTACCTACGGCATAAAAATAAAACGCGGTTGTTCGTATCATTCGCGTCGAAGCGACGTCGTTTTGTTGGTCATAACCCTCGTAAGGCTGAGAATTTTAGTATCTTTGTGTTGACGAATCATTTAACGAAATTATGTATAATAATCTTTGTGACAAGACAAGACGTTTCTTTTTGGTAAAATAACAAGTACCGAACAAAATTTTTTTGATCATCACTGAGTTTGCAATCTAACCTATAATTTGATCATGAACAAATATTCAACAGATAACTTGTTTTGGCATAGTATCATTATTTCCATGCACGGAAATATGATCTACTCGTTTGTTCCATGTGATTCTACTACTTGACAAGAGACTTGTGTTTCAGTTCCTTGTGTTTTCTGATAAAACAGATTTCCCATTACGTCTCGTATTAGTAAAGGAAAATTGGTTTGAAGATCCTCAAAGTTGGAAAGAATAATTAAGTTTGTAGAAGTACATTTGAATAACAAATATTTAGTACTGAGGATGACCCGATGTTGTTTGTCTTGAAGACATACGATTCCTATATTTATTTTTAAACATACACGCCAATATTAATTTAAAATTATTGAGATATTTTAAGCGTTCATTAATTTGCCACTTCCACGATTGCAACAAACGCAATTAAACGTCTATCATTTGGGTTTTAGTAAGCATTTTTGGATTATATATTAGGACTAGTCCTCCGAGCCGGTCGGTCTAAACTTAGAAGAAAATGTTGTACCCCAGACGGGTTTTTTTGGGTCTGAATACTAATTTTTAGGGTCGGATTGGGCCTAGCTTTGGCTTTGACATGTGTATTATACCGTGGGACACTCAACATTAACTAAAGGAGGGGCTTCTACATCTATTTGACTATTATCCGGATCCAAAACCTTAAAACATCTCTCACTGTTTCCATTTGTCAACTGTTTGAACCATCTATTCTGCTTCGGTTGCTCTGCACTTATGGCAATGACGACGTCGTTGGGAAAGAGATCACGTTGGACAAAAGCGTGCACCACCGTCATTCCTAGGACACCTATCACCGTCAGAGTTGCTGCTCCAGACATAACAACCGATAGTACTTGAGTTGCAACTCCGGTGACTTCACTTGAGTATTTGATCGTCGCGGTGGCCACCGCCGTCATCGGAAACGTGTAAGCCCACCAAGCTAGCGAGAATCTGACATTTTAACATTAATTATGTCAGATAACATCTACTTCATTTGGTCTATATATAGACTCTTCTAATAAGTTAGAGTAAAAGCTTACTTGAAACCGCGAAAAAAGTTAATCCGAACAACCTGAAACAAGAATCACAATAAGTGAGGTAGGTTAACGTTTCTTGTGGTGCAAGCAACTTTGCTCTGTCTCTATCTCAAAGTATGTTAATGAAAAAAATATTTACCAGAGAGAAGTACAAGAACAAGGAGATGAAGTAAGCGAGGCGCGAACCGAGATTGAAAGGGGCAGAGATCTTGGTCCAGGCCATAGAAGCGACGGCCGGTGCAGCCACAAAGAGGAAGAAAACAGGGTGAAGTTCTTTAGGTAAGGTTTCGTTTGTGGGAAGTCTCTGGTAAAGAGTCACAAATAAGACCAAATAATAAGCCAATCCCACGGCGAAGAAGAACATCGGTCCTTCTGTCAACCCCATTGATGCACCAAGAAGTGCTCCGGCGAAGTTACCGACGATGGAAAGATGGTTTGTAGGGTTAGCGACTTTGGAGAGGCGTCTTTGTCCACCGGACATCCACTGTCCGTAAATCTTCATTTCAAGTAACAAAACCGGAGCCATAAGGAAGTACCATAGCGTAGAGGGAAGATGTGAGGTGATGGAATGTGGGATTCCAAGTGCTAAGAAGAGTATAGATATAAGAGGAGCGAAGAAGAAGTTGACACGGATCGGATGCTGGAACTCGCGGCGGACCGCCTCGAAGAAGAGGATGGTCTTGAGGAGGTAAGTGATGGAGACGGCGAGGAGGAGAATAAGAGAGATCCACCAGAGCACATGGTTAA